CACGCTACAGCTAAGCACATATTCTCTCTCCATATTCATTTGTATATGATAATTTTGCTTTATATAGATGGAATGCTATTGTAAATATTAGTAAGTGTTCAGTTTTATTTTTTAATGGCAGACTTCATTAGGCAGCCATTAACAAAGGCTTTAGAAAGAATCAGATAATCCAATAACATTCCTTCGAATGAGGTGTGGTAACTAAAATTTGCAATGCCTTTAGAGGCTGTGAACTTGTGCTGAAATCTAAAGTTGAAATTACAGAACATTTCATACAATTGCTGTGCTCTGGCTGCTTGAGAGCTTTTGTCAGTGAGGCAAAGAACAATTGAAGCAGTCCAGAATGGTTCTTTAATCTTCTTGTAGTAGCACAATGGACAATTGTCTGAAACATCTTCACAACATTTTGATCAGTAAAAACATTGACCAGATTTGCATGTTCCTGTGTAAATGCTAGCAAATAAAAAAGTGATGAGTAGACTATAAAAAAGAAAAAAAAAGATAATAAAATAGAAAGACAGTTGGAAATCGCTGACAATTTCAATTGCCTGGCCAACTGCAGGACTGTATAGTCCAAGATGGAAGACTGCTAACAATAGATTAAAGCAATATGAAACACTTTAAAACTCCCTTTGAATTAGAAGTTCCAAAGCAGTTTCTTTTTTTTCAGAAATAAGTATCAGAGCAGTTGTAGCTCTATGTGGCCAGTCAGTCATTTAGTGGTAGTTCACAAAGAGGTCAAAATATTCGCAGACGTTGTTGTATTAGGAAACAGAGCAGGTATCTGTTTTTCAGCTTTAATAATCTTGAATTTGTCACTACAGCAAAGTAACCTATTGTAGTTACAAGGTATTGGCACAAACACCTGTCACAGAATCATAGAATGGAAGGGACCTTAAAGATCATCGAGTTCCACCCCCTGCCATGGGCAGGGACACCTCCCACTAGCCCAGGTTGCTCAAAGCCCCGTCCAACCTGGCCTCTCTTTGTCAGGGTCTCCAGCTGATCATTTTATTAATGCAGAGGAAAGGGCTTGTAGAAACTTTAAAACTTGCTTGGTGGAATCTGTAATGATTGAATTTATTCCATTCTTCAACACAGCAAAACAGGACAAAATCATCTTGTCCTTATTCCAATAAAAGAGACATATATTTCCAGCAAACGGGGAAAGTAAGGAGGTAATCTCCCTGCTGCCGTGGCTGCTATTTAAAAAATAATGAAAAAATTAAAAAGAAACAGTATTTAATTAACCTCCATAGTAAGCAGGTACACTTCACCACAACCTGCACCTCCTGATTGTCCAAACCAGGGGAACTATCAGTGTACATGAGGCTCCCTTACTATCCTCATGCCCATGTTTTCTTCTGAGGGAAGGAAATTGGAGCATACAGGGTAGTTGCTGGATCTGATGATCCAAACCTGTGGCCATGCTACAGCCAGGATCCAGCCACAGGGCTGCAGTTACCCAGCAGGGTGCGTGCAGACGGTGCAAACTCCTGCAGCACAGTACATTGGGACAGCAGTGGAGAGGGAGGGGAATGGTAGCAGTGCTTCAGGTAGAATGGGTGGATGGCACTTGGTTGATAATGAACTTTTCAGTCTAATAGTTGATCTTATCATGCAGTTGGTGACATTCAGTAAAAAAAGAAATTGAAATTTGGAGGAAGAAAGGCTTTGGGGCAACTTGAGCCACACAAAAACTGAAGAAAGAATAGTGTAAAATGGTGCAAAAGTGGTTGCATTTTACAGTCAGAGTATACGACATGAAAGAACGGAATACTTTTCAAAAATCAATATTCACACGGTGGAAATCCCGTTTAACTTCTGAGGCAGAGAGCAAAGGAACACTTCAGAAAATGCCTTCTATAGAATGGCAATTTAAATACATGTCGAACTGAAATGCCAGCATGGCTTCTGCCAGACAAGCAGCATCTTTCCTTTTGTCTTCTGAGCTGCAGTTACTGAAACACTAACACGCAATACACTCACTGTTATAATCCATTTCCTAAACACAATTAAATCATGTATAAGGTCAAAAGCAGACCTTAGCGGTAGAATAAAGAGCAATTTGGAGGCGAGTTAATGGATGAGTATGAGATATCTGAGCTTTGTCCAGCAAGAAAGACAATTTAGTTTCAATTTCTAGATGTTACTTTGGTAGGCAGATAGCAGATGCTAAGGTTGTAACTCAGACAATGTGTGAATAAAACTTTTAAAAACAAATATTTTTTATTAAGACATTCAGATTTAATAAAAGGATCAATTAACTTTCCCCATTTCCAATCTAAACCATCCTGAAATGGTAAGGGTCAAGTAATATTTCTGTGCCATTTGACCTAACTGAAAACATTTGGTGAGAAGTACCTTTATATACAACTGCAAAAAGAGAAACACGGTAAAGATTTGATGAACTTTTTCATATTCTGTTTCCAAAATTATTTACCCTTAAGGTGCTTTTCTTGCCATAGCAATTCTCGGTCTTCACCTTATATAACTAGATTATTACTATTGCATTAGCTTTAAAAAGTACAGTCAGGCTGTTTTATTTCTCAAAATGTCTGATCTGTTACATACAGCCCGTTGCTATGAAAAACGTATTTTAAGAACTGATGTTCTCCAGGTGTGGAAATGAAACAAATAAAACCAAAACCGTAGGTTTTTGAAACTTTCAGTGTCCTGCAGAATGACTCTTTGGAATCACTCTGTGCAGTGTTGGTACTGTTTTCTGCTTCATGTCGCTTGAATGTATTTAATTGAGAAGGGCTCATTGCCATGGGCGGCTTGGCAAGCTCGGTGGGGGATCTGCAGCGTGAGGTCTGTTATTCTAGGAATCATCATGGAATAACTGGAATGTAACCAGCAATTCCATCAATGATTTACACCTAACACCCTGGTCTATCTCATTTCCCCAAAGGACAGCCACGTTAGGTCTGTAACGCTAGTGGTGCGTCTACCCTGGGGTCACTAGCCACCACAACCTACACTCGTAACTTTGTCTTCAGTGAAGAATTATTCTAGGGAGGGTTAGGCGAGTGGAACTGGATAGATGGGACTCAATACAGAGACATTTCACAAGGCATAGTTGTTTTTTTTTTCTTCTCCAAAGGGCTACGAAGTTGTTCTTTTAAAGGGAGCTGCTGAAAAATAATAATCCTTTGATTCTGGTATAATGTTCCATTATCTCTGATGACCAGGACGGCTGTTTAATTGTTGTTTTTATGTTCCCAAATGAATATATCAATAATAATACATACTGTTTTCTTTATCAAGCATAAATATTAATGGCATCTATAAAAGCAGTCAGTAAATATTACAACATTTTAACATTGTAATCGCAGAGATACTCTGTGAATTTCTGGCTGGCTAACTGGGCTCTCACACGTAGAGGCTGGGGAGGGCTTGAGCAGTTTGTCAGGGAACACAAACACTGTACAGCAGTACAGACCAGGAGGCAGCTGCAGCATGTGCAACCGTTTTCCGTCAGCGTGCAGTTCGGGCTGTGCTTGGTCGCTGCCTGCAGCAGGTGAGCAGTGCAGCCTGCACCAGCATCTTTGCTTGTCCTTATTTCAATGCCCTGTCTTAAAACGGGCAAAATTACTTACAATTTCTAAGTCTAAAATTCATTTATGGTAAATAGGCACTGAAATGGTATTTGGACACTGCACAGTCTTTCAGAACACTTCCCGGCGTAGTATTCCTTGCAAGAGAACAGGAGCAAGTGATCTGTGTACTTCATGAAAGACAGTTATTTGAAAACTATAAAAAAGGGACAAATTTGGTAGCCAAACCTGGACACCCTTCTCTTCTGCAGGTCTACGCAGGTCTGCCACTTTACATTATGGATTATTTTCTCCCAGTGGCTGAGTTACCCCCGAGAGTTCAACAAGCCATTGATACATTCTGCAGATTATTTTCTCCCATTGTTTTCTTGCAGTCCTGACTGTGCTGCTCTTTACATCTTTCTGTACTGTCTTCTTTCCATGTCAGGCAAACAATTACCTGGTTATTATTTGCAGTTCATCTTGCAGCACTATTTTTTCTGAAAAGATTATCAGTAGTAACCCATCGGGTTGCTGAGTACACATAAATGTCTGTATACAAAGAGGAGAGAGAAAAATCTCCTTATGCTATTTATTATATCTGCTCATAGTGCTATGCAGAATGGCACAGACTGAGCTTTAATTCAGAGCTACCGTCTGTAACAAGAACAAATAGCCATCATATTTTTTTCTGATCTAACCTGAATACCTCTGCACAGCACTGCTCTGTGTTGTATGGGCTTACTGCTGGTCACCAGTCACCTGCCAGTTCCATCTCTGGAATATACTGTTAACATGCTCAAATACTATTGCCATTTTTATTTCAGGGGCATTTGTACATCGTCAGGACAAATTCTCTCTTGTCTTGTCCCACCCTTTCAGAATTCCCTCAGGAGGTGGGGTTTGTTTGCGCAGCTACAACGTGGCTTTGTCCTTTGGTTCGATAATCTCATCTATCTATTTACTTTAAAAAAGGAATTGTTAACATTTGTCAACTAGAAGTTCTTGTAAATAGGCCATGCCCCAAAAGAGACACGTGCGTTATAGCAGGAAGCACGTTCTGCCTCCTGTTCAGTCTTCATTAGCTCAGTAATCGTGGGCAGCTCACTAAGTCTCTCTGCTTTGCTTCGTGCGCTGGTGAAGCAGTTGGGGTGAGAATAGTCTATGATGGTTTGGGTGTCTTTGCTAAGGTTTGGGGAACCTTGGGAAGAGCTGGAAGTTTTGTACAAGTCACTCTATGGATGGAGCTGAGGAGCTAATAACTTGAATGGGATTACTATCCCAGCAGAGTAAAATTAATAGAAACCAAGACATAACTTGTCTTCTGCATCAGTTAAAAACTTTGTCATAAAAATTCAGGGAGTCTGGTGACAAAGGCAGTTTAGAGAGCGTCAGGGAGCAGCTCCATCGCTGCTTTGTGGTAACATGTCACTGACAACGGCTGTGTCTTTCCTCTTGCAGTATCGGTCAGGACGGGATCCTCAGCGAGGCTCAGACAACATCTCCAATAAGTCCTCAGACAGCGATGTCAGTGATGTCTCCGCTGTGTCGCGGACGAGCAGCGCTTCGCGTTTCAGCAGCACGAGCTACATGTCCGTCCAGTCAGAGCGTCCCAGAGGAAACAAAAAAATAAGGTGAGCACGAGGAGCTGTACTGCCAACCGGAGCCGTGTAATTTAAGTAACTGAACATTTTTCAATATTTGTCTTTGAAATTAATACTTTGCCTAGGTGGAAATCTGCAGGGAATTTGCAAAATACTGCTTTAAATGTGTTCTTCATCTAATGCTTTTTGAAGTCTTTATGGTATTTGTTTTTAGCCAAGTTTTGTCATCTTGGTTTACACTAACATACACTAAAATAACAAACATATGCCGTCAGCAGGCATCAGACACACTTAGATTTGCACTTTCTGAAAACCATTTTGTAAAAGACAGTTTAACTTCAAAATTTGTGCTGGCAACGTCAGAGCCATATTAATTTTCTTTTAAAGTAGAGGGGCTGAACTTTTCCAGAAATCTTATTTAATACTTTCATAGACTAATTCAATCTATTGAATACTTAGCTGTAGGTGTACACCATTGAACTGCTCCTCGACAAGACGTACGTCATGTGTCTGTGAGCAAAACACAGCATCGCCTTTGCCTGCACCCTGTGCAGAGCTTCCGCTCTAGAAGTCACGAAAGATCATTTTTCTTGGAAGGTGTAACCCACCTGTATCCTTCAGCAAAATTCAGTGTCAGCCTATAGTTATTCTCACAAAATTGTCCTCTTGAGACAAATGGTGTGTTTGAAAAGGTTGTTTAAACATCTGCACTGTTTCTGGCACACAGTTACGTTTGCATTTCTCAATGGGATGTATTGCCATGCAACTTTCCTTTTAATAGACACTTAGAGTCTATCCTAAGAAAATGTCCCAAGGTTCTCTAGTGTAGGCTGGAGTCTTAGCCAGCATGGTTTAACTTGTGACTGCTTCCATCTTTTAGTTTTTATTTAATTTCTTTGGCATTTCCTTTCTTGTGAGTACATGCATGCTCTTCTCCATGACCTTAACTTTAATTTCTTCTTTTTTTCCTTTTGTATGCCTTCTTTGATTTTTGTTGGCTTCGGAAGGACGAGGGATATAGAGGGGAAAAAGGAGGGAGGGCTGGAAGGGGATGAACAAGATGCAGTATTTCCTGAGGAAGAAGAAAAAGAGGAGGAGGAGGAGGAAAAAGCAAAGGAGCAAGAAATTAATGAAAAAGGGGAAGGGCAAGAGGTGACAGAGAACTGTGATAAGGAGGAAATCAAAGGATCAGGGCATGATGAAAAAACTCAAGAAGACCAAA